GTTGGGCTTGTTACTTTGTAAGTGACATAAAAACATATTGCTGATGTTTGCAGAGTGAGTAGCATCAGTCTCTCCCGCAGGTTTGATATGAGTGGCTTACGACTTACAAGCTCTGATATGATTGGCTGAGCCAGGCGTTACACTTTTCCACAACGCTGAACAGCAGAGCATTGCTCTTCTCGTATATTTTGTTAGTGACTCTCTGATAGCACTGCTAAGGCAGAGGTGGACAACAGCAGCAACAGCAGTGCCTCCCCAAGTGCTCACCGCCCTGTTATCACAGTATGTTGTGACATTTTCTGGTATTTCCTGGTTCTGATTTAGCAGGAGATGGAAAAAGAAACCATAACCGGTCTCACAAGTCTGCACCCGTTCAGGACAGCATAGTACAGCCCATTTGGCTCTACAGTGGAAAAAAGGCCATTTTTTACTTTGTATATTGCAGTTTTCAGTGGATATTTCAACTTATAGCCTAACTCAAAATTTTATTCGTGGGACTTGTTAGCCATCTGCTGATCTTGCTGTGAACCACAACCCTGTGCATATTCTTGCAGAAGATTTTTTGAGATTTATTAATATGTCTGGAAAAAGTAATTTCACTATTTCTGGTTGATTTGATTTCATAGTTAATCGCTCTATGCTGTGTTGGCTCTGGCTCTCTCTCTCTCTCTCTCTCTCTCTCTCTCTCTTTCTCTTTCTCTCTCTCTCTCTCTCTCTCTCTCTCTCTCTCTCTCTCTCTCTCTCTCTGTGCATTCAGGCCTCTGTCTGTACGTGCAGACTTTCTGTATGTGCCTAGGCTTTGTCCCGGAGTGCTGCTGTGTTTCAGCCAAGCCTGGGAAACTGTGCTCAGTCCCATCTTGAACATAAATTGTAACTATGATAGGAACACTTGGCCTTGGCCTGCACACACACAGACAGAGAAGCCTAGCTTTGAGCATGACTTTATTCATTTCATTCTCAAAGCATATATTTTAACGCTTCCATGTTAAGTCACTATTAGGAATAATCACTAGATGCAATGTTCGATTTTTTTCGCATTTTTTTAGAAATTGATCAATGAAAAAAAAATGAAAAGTAGGATATGTGAATTGATGTGACGTAATAAAGAACAAAGCCCATCTTCTCAAAGTATGCATTGACTTCTAGATAATGGTACACTACATGGACAAAAGTATTGGGACATCCCTGCTAATTATGAAGTTCAGGTGTTTCAGTCACACCCTTTTGCTAACAGGTGGATAAAATGAATCAAAATGCAATGTGTCGGGGGGAGTGGTGTAAAGCATGCCGAGCAGTGGAGCTGTGGAGAGATCAATCATGCTTCTCTATCTATTGTTTGGCGAATGCCAGAAGAACATTACCTGCCTGACTGCATTGTGCCAACTGTAAAGTTATGGGATTGTTTTTCAGAGGTTGGCCTAGAACGCTTAGTTCCAGTGAAGGAAAATCTTAACGCTTCATCATTTTGGACAATTCTTTGCTTCCAACTTTGTGGGAACAGTTTGGGGAAGAACCTTTTCTGTTCCAGCATGACTGAGCATCAGTGCACAAAGTAAGGTTCATAAAGGCCTGGCTGGGTGAGTTTGGTGAGGAAGAACTTGACTGACCCTCACAGAGCCCTGACCTCAACCCCATCCAACACCTTTGCGATGAACTAGAACAACATCAGTGTCTGACCTCACAAATGCTTTTCTGGATGAACGGACAAAAATTCCAACAGACACACTCCAGAAGAGTGGAAGCTGTTATAGCTGTGAAGGGGGACCAACTCCATATGTATACATGAAGCCTACGGACTTCCCAATACTTATGTCCATATAGTGTATAATCAAATGCAATGGCTTAATGCCAGTAGTAATTTTTTTATGTAATGGAATATATAGAACTGATTTCTGATGAAGGACGAGATGGCATTTTTAGAAGAAAAAATAGGTTTGTTACAGAAGGCCAACCCCGAAGATCAGCACACAGACTGCTGGTCACATAGCAACGCAGACAACAGTCTTGCCTAGTTAGTAGCTAACCAAAAGGCAAAGAGAGAGATTTCAGACAAACATCTATAATTTGGAGACGAATGGACTTATTTGCATTTATACTCACTTCAGGGATGGGACCCATGAAAATGACCTTCCCTTTGGTATCTGCCTGTTTCATGCTCCATAACTACTGTGAGGCCACCAAGGAGACAATGGATGACAAAAGAGTCATCGAGACAATTCAGCATGAACAAGGACAACCAGCCAGCCACACAGACTTATTTCAGAGCCGACTGCATCAGCGCAGAAGGGAAGAAGGTCTGGACAGTTTTTATTAAATTCCTTGATCCATAAAAGGGACTGCAGTTCTTCTCTATCTTGGCCACAGTCTTCTTTGCCGCATGTGTATGTGTGTGTGTTACACATCTGTCAGACCTGCAGTGTGATCCTGAACATGTGCGAAAAGAAAGTGGTAGGTTGCCATAAGATAAAAGTTATTCTGTTAAGACAACAATGTTTAAAATGAAAATGATGAATGCTCTATGTGGTTGTCATTTCCTCTAAGCTGTGAGTTTACAGCACCCATTCTTCACAGAAATATGTTTTGTGTTAAACACTCAGACATTGTACAATTTTCGGACTCTTTTTGTATTGAATAAACTCTTCAGATTGTTGCCACTGACAAGGCAGCAAGTGAAACACAAAATCAATAAGAGACTCTTTTTTAATTAAGACATGAAATGACAGAAGTACCTTTAAATGATGAGCTAGTAGAAAACAAGAGAGTTCATGAATGACGCATCTCCTACACTCCACTGCAAACTCTTTTATACGTACAGGACCGGAGCTGCCTAAAAGCTAATGCAACACATTTAACACCTCAGCAGGTGGACTTTAGCATCAGTCTTAAAACACAAAAAGCCTTTACAAAGTTTTGAATATAAACTTTATAAACGTTAAAGAAAAAATACTACTACTACTAATAATATATAAACATGCAGCCCAAACATGGATGGAAATGTGTCAGGTGTTGTGTTGGGTGGAAATGTGTGAGGTGTTGTATTGGGTGGAAATGTACCAGCTGTTGTGTTGGGTAGAAATGTACCAGGTGTTGTGTTGGGTGGAAATGTGTGAGGTGTTGTATTGGGTGGAAATGTGTGAGGTGTTGTGTTGGGTAGAAATGTACCAGGTGTTGTGCTGGGTAGAAATGTACCAGGTGTTGTGTTGGGCAGAAATGTTCCAGGTGTTGTGTTGGGTGGAAATGTGTGAGGTGTTGTGTTGGGTGGAAATGTGCCATGCCAGGTGTTGTGTTGGGTAGGGGTGGGCAGATCGATCCAAATATCGATACTATCGATACCAACGGTATTGGTATTGGATCGATACTATCGTGAGGGTATCGATACTTCCCTCTTCTATGTTCAATACGTTGCTTTCATTTCATCAAAAAGTAGAGACCTCTGCAAACACCACTAATTTCACATCTTGCATGCACACTGTGCTCCTCCTCCTCCCTTGCTCTGCTGTTTCGTTGTCGTGACTTAGCAGCGCTAAGAGTGGACACTTGTATGCTGTAGTGATCAAAAGCATAGCAGAGAGAAAGAGGAGAGTTGTGTGGTGATATTTTATGGCTGTAAATAAAAACCTTGCACACTGTGATGTGTGTAAGAAGGCTGTTCGCTACTGTGGCAGCACCACCAATTTATACAAACATGAAAAATCTGCAAAAAAGGGAACTCAGAGCTGCAAAAGAAACGGAGAGAGGAGGAGGGAAATCCCTCAGACAGACCTAGACCCCCGGCACAGAGACAGAGGTCACTGTCAGAGTCCTTTCAGAAAGGCACAGATTACCCAGGGAGCTTATATAGTGGTATATTATATTATTGTTTCTGAACAAAAACCTCTAACTGAAAAAGATTTAGAAACTGAAGGAGATTTAGGTTCTCCAGTAATCATTTTGTACACTTTGTTTATTTTACCAAAGCCAGAGAAATGCAATGAAAGAAAGAAATTAAGGCTTCTTATTATTTAATTGTTCCTGAACAAAAACCACGGGCTGAAGGAAAGAAGTTTTAAAACATTCATTGTTCTCCAGTGGTAATTTAGTGCAGAATTCATGTTCAAATTAAGTTCATTACAGTATTAAAAATATTTTTTATTTGCCTAAAACTTTGCTGTCCTGGGTTTTAACATGCACATGATTAACTAATTAACAGTGGAAAGCAAAAATCACTTAGTGGTCATGAAAATGTATTTAAATTTAGCATATTGATGATAGAGTCACCTCATAAATCATGATACACTTCTCTCCCGTACATGAAAGTACATAAGCTGCTTTTATAAGTAAAAAGCATCAGTATTGGTATCAGCGATACCGGCCCTGTATTTACTTGGGATCAGATCGATGCCAAATTTTGCAGTATCGCACACCACTAGTGTTGGGTTACTTTTAGACTTCTCAACAACTAACAATTAGGCCCTACATACATGAAGTAGATCTCTTTTCTCCTTTCCCACCGAGGGGGCCAAACTGCTGCCATCTGACTTTCATAGTTCATCAGACACATTGGGCAACCAAGATGTCAAGTGTAGGTCAAAGTGGTCTACTGTCTGCCTGTATTTCCCCTCTATCACCTTCAGTGTGGTGGTGATTATGGCCCTGGTTATGTCCTCCTTGCGATGAGGAAACTCTGGGGACGTCTCAGAAGAGCACTGCTCGAGGAAAAGAGCTAGGAAGTTGGCATGCTTGGACTGGCAAGAGTCTTAGACTCCCAGTCCACGTTTTCCTGAGTTTTGCTTTTTTTATGTTCTAGCGTGACTCTGAGGAACAACTTCATCGTTATCAGTCCAGATATCAGATTTCGCCCTTCCTGATCTGCCATTGTTGTTCGCTGCCAGTAATAACTTTTGAAGTCCTCTGATTGGCCAACACGGCTTTGTGATTAGGAGTATATCGCTGCCTGCTGGTTTGGCATGCTCTTGACAGTGCTTGATCTTATGTTTTTGCGTTTTCATGTGGATGGAGCTATTTTTAAAAAACAGAGCTTGGGAGGACTGGACTTGGGAGGAAGATTTTTTATTTTAAGGCCTTAACGTGATGAGGTGTTTGAGACTTATTTTATTTTTTTGAACTTTTTTGAGTGAGCTGTTTGTTTTAATTTTTCTATGACAGTCTCCTTTTCTTTCCGTTTCTTCTCAGTTTGCATTCTCCTGGATTCAGACAAGCTCTATTAGCAGGAAACCAGTGTTTACTGTAAGCAAAATGTTCTTTTTTTGTTAATATATTTTTATTCAAGAGGGAACAAGATATAGAAAAGATAATATATTACAGTGCAGTCACATCCGTTTTCTAGTTGAAGATGGCATAGCGAGGCTCGAAAGCAGAGACAGCAGGAAGGCTGGATGACGAAGCCTGAGGCCTGAGGACGGGGCCAGGGCTGGAAGGTTTGTGCTGGCCAGGACTGCACCCGTGGGAACATTCGACCTTTGAAAGGGAAGCTATGTAGCATCCTGGTACTGACTTGTGTTACTGTAGAGGCTCCTGGGAGACTCCCTTTAAAAGGGACGTTTAATGTTGTTTATGTTCTTGTCTGTCAGTTTAAAAGTAAATGTATGTTTTAGTTGTGTTATTCTGTGTTGGTGGTGTGGGCGTTTTGTGTTGGTCACCACAGGGTGGAAGGCTGTGCCTAATGGATTTTAGGATTTTAGTATGTTCTGTCATGATGAATGGAAGTTTCTTTGAGCACTGGAATGATTAAGCATTTAGCTAAGAGACAGTGTTTAACTTACTGTTGGTTAAAACTGTCCCCTGTCTCAAACTAGAGGATATAGAGGTGGAATTCCCACTGAGAATGCCAGAGAAGTTGGACTGCAGTTCAGTCCATTGTGTCTTTTGCTGAAATATGCACACCGGACACTGAACACAAGCCAAGTCCTGTTATAGTTGAAACAGTTCTTATCTCATGCAGCCTGTGCTATCGGTCAAACCTTGAGAGCAAACAGAAAGGCAGAGAGAGAGAGAGAGAGAGAGAGAGAGAGAGAGAGAGAGAGAGAGAGAGGGTGAGTTTGCTATCAAGGCTGTGACCAAACGATAGAGGTGGGTAATCCAGGTCCAAAAAGTAAAAACCCTCCCCAGGATTTTGTTCCAACTGCTTGACTTCTCTAATTTGCTCAAACCAGCAGCGAAGGTGGACCTGGATTACCCACCTCCACCTACCAAATATTTGCACATTCCAGGAATGATTTTTCAGACACAGTTCGACCTTTTTTGTTTTGTTTTGTTTTATTTGCCTTAGTTGCATAAAACTATTAGTTCAAATTCGGTTTAATTCTGTTTTTTTCTCACTGTTGTTTCCAAAGTTGTACTTATATTACTTTTTAATGTTGTAAAGCACATTGTGATGTTTCACTTGTAAAGTATTATTTTTGTTGTTATCTTTTATAATCTTTACACTTTCTCACTGTAGCTATAGTGAATTCGGTTCCTTTGGGATGTAATCTAAGCTAATTGTGCTAAATGATCTCATCTGTGGTGTTTATTTCCCTATATGACATGTCATAATCAAAATCACTGTTGTTAAGCTACTGTAGCAAAACCACATGACCCAAATTACAAGATGTTAATGCTTAGTCACAATAAAATGAGGCATAGCAGTCATCAGACAGTAAGCTGAGCAAGCAAATCGAGAAATTTGTCACTACTTAGCCTCTTACCTGTGGTGAAAACATGCAGGTGAAGTTCTACAGTGACAATGCAAATAAAAAGTATCATGTCTGCATGTTTAGTCAATTAAAACTTATTTTTAGTGATACAAACTTTCACAATGAAATACAAAACTGCCCACGTGTTTATTTTTAACTCACCTATTTATCCATCCATCCATCATCTAAACCGCTTATCCTTCTGGGTCGTGGTGGGGTGCTGGAGCCTATCCCAGCTGTCATTGGGTGGAAGGCAGGATACACCCTGGACAGGTCGCCAGTCCATCGCAGAGACTAAACAACATCATTAGATAACTCAGTGTGTATGGAGTACACTAAACACCAGTTCTGAACAACTTGTAACACACAGACCACTGAAGTCATGTTGTTATTCTCTAATTGCCATCAAGGGATTGTTGGAAATTGCCGTTATGATACCCTCTGGCTAAAAATGGTTCTAATCTCGATACTTCACTGGATCCCCTGAATTACGAGGTCATTAAAGAGCTGAAATATGAATTTTGCTACATGGAAGTTAACACTGCTGCACACTGAAATGAAATCATATAACTGGCAACTACACTGAACTACCCTAAACAAACTAGCAAGCTTTGGCAAAAGTAGTGAACATTAAGCGCAGCTGGTGTTATTGTATAATAGTGCTGAAGGTTAACAGTAGACTAACTTTATTGCGATGTCATTTCAGTGTTCAGGAGCGCTAGCATGCTATTAGCATGGATGCAGCAATGTTCATATTTTGGCTCCTCAAATTTCAGAGGATCCAGTGACATTCAGAGGAAAATATAAGTAGAACAAAATGTATCAGGTTTGGATTTTCATTTTCCCGTTCATTTATGCCACTGAGAAACCCAGCTTAAACCCAGAGTTTCTAATATGATTATTATGCTGATTATAGAATGATGCGTGACTTCAGAGGTCTATAGATGTAGAGCAAAAGTATGTACCGTCCTTAAGGACCAGTTTGTAAATGACTGAGCTAACAGATGCCTCTGTTGGCTAGTATCACAGTGTGATGGGGAGAGCAAGGTCAGTTGGACTCCCAGCCATGGACGGCAGTGGCATCTAGTTCATTCCAAAGGTGTATAGTAGGGTCAAGGTCTGTGCAGGCCACTGAAGTTCCTACACACCAAACTCATCAAAGTATGTATTGATGCAGCTCACTTTTAGTTCCAGTGAAGGCTAATGTAAAAAAATGCACTGGGGCACAGTCATGCTGGAACAGGAGAGGGTCTTCCCTAAACTGTTGCAAAAAATTAGGAAGCAGTTAATTGTCTAAAATGTGTTTGTATGCTGCAACATTAGCATTACCCTTCACTGGAACTAAGGGGCTGAAACCCTGAAAAACAGCCCCAGACCATTATCCCTCCTCCACCAAACTTTACTGTATGCATTCCAGTAGGTAGTGTTCTCCTGGCCTCTGCCAAACCCAGATTTGTCCACTCAGTTACAGCACATTTTAAAATTTATGTTTTATTTCTTTTCACTGTGTTAAACTTAGCAAGTAAATAGAAACTGGGCACTAAATTTGCAGAAAAATGCCATCTTTTTAAGGCTGTTCTCTGTAGAGAATGTGCTAACTTATTTTTACCTAATTAAAACATTTGCAAACCAGCAAGAGTCAGTGGCACATTAAGCAGCATTTATTTACATGCCAGGTTTTGCTTAAACATGAATTACTTTAATAATTTAAATGACGTGGAATAAATCAGTGACATTTCATTCAAAATTGGCATGTTTTGTTCATTCTTGACATGCTCCAATGGGCACCAGCATATTCCAGTGGCATGTTAACCATCATTTCTTTCATGCCAGTGGCATAAAAAGTAACCCCCCCCCCAGCTTATTTTGTCAATATTGTTGAAGTATGTTTTTTTTCTTTTCCAAAGTAAGATAATTTTAGTTGTCTTTCATGTCTAGATACGGCAGAAATTCGGTCCCAAATGAAATGAAAATGAAAATGAAATGCTAAACGGTTTTTAGCGTAGAATTAGCAAGTACACAAATTGTGATTAATGAACATCCAAGCTAACGACATTCCAATAATGTACTTAAAATGATTTAAATGATTATTATTTTTAATAATAATAATAATAATTACTTTCATTTGACAATTTGGGGGACAGTGGCGAAAATCAGATGACAAATGTCACGTTGAATATGTGACTTGTAGAATATTCTACATATTTGTAAGGGGTGAAATGGGTTTTGAGGGACACTAAGGTACTTTTTATTGTAACTTAAAATTGATGACTAATGAAAAACAAACATTTGAGCATGTTTTTTTTTAATTAATTGAAGTATTAACAAGGCTATATTTCGAGGTAAAGCATAATTGTAGTGGGCTGGGGCAGGGAACATACTGTGGAACTGCTGAGAGAGATTTTATTAGTGTTTTTAATGTTACTTTTCTAAAAAATACACATAGATTGTTGTAAAGGACACTTTACGTATGTTTACAATGTGTTTACTTTTCATTTAAATACATATTTTGAATGTAACCACAAATAGTTCTGTGAAATCACAAACTGTTCATTTCAAACAGCATATGAAGCTGAAGAGGAGCCCATGGCCGTTGAGTGTTAGCACAAAGTTTAAAGAATCAAATAATTTATTACGCTCTGAAATTATCAGCTGAAAATTTCTTACAACATTTCTTGACCTGCTTATGCAACATACAAAAAAAACATTCTTTTTGTTTTGTTTGAACCGACTTATATGAGGAAATGTGTGTAGGATTTATTTATTTTCTTTGTAAGCAAAGTTGAGGCTGTATTTTCTAGTCTTGCCACTAGAGGGTGCTATTGTTAGGCAGGAGTGCGAGTTACCCAGAGAAGGCTTTTTTCCCCTTAGAAGGAGAATAGCCAGACTGCATGAAAGACAAGAACTGTCGCCTGTCAGTAGTTTTCCCTGTTTTATACAGGTTAGTATTGTGTATGCCCACAAAATAACACTAAAAATATAAAGTTTACATGTTTAATATTACCACCTTTAGGTGATGGTTGAATGTGGGCACTATATTATATATATGTTTAGGAGTAGAAACTTTCTTCTGAAGTCATGCTAAATGGTTGAGCTAACATAAGCAGCTATGCCCACTCACTTGCTATACTTCCTGATATATTTATTTTCTGTTCTTTTAAGATAATCAAATATAAATTTGTTGTGTAAAACAGTTTTTTGCTGACATTGTTTTCTTTCACTTAAAAAAAATACTAATATATACATAATATATAATTTGGCTAACTATATATCATGATGTCTAATGCCACAACTAATTTTATGCTGCTGTCATTTTAAATTTGTTTTATCTCTAGTGAAATCTGCATGTACTGATGCTGAGTTACCCGCCAAATGCTTTAGGAGAACTGCTTTGTGACCTTTGGTTGACTGTTCTCGGATATATCCTGCTTTTCAGCAGAGCATCACACGTTTAAAATGTCCTAATCATAAAACAGATGATTTACAATAACTAGTTCAGCATATATGTTACGTGTTGGCAGAGGGATGACCTGAAATACAAACTTTATGGCTGAATGATTCAACATTTTCCCAGTCACTGTCAAGAAAAGAGAAAGTGTTATTCACAGCTTTGATGTTACTGATTGATTTACACGATATAGACAGCAGCTTTTCTGAGTCTTTATTCTTAACCTGCCTTAATGAAGCAGAAGGTTACAGTTTCTGCTGAAAAGTCTTCCTGCTGTTT